TTCTGTTTATGAACTCCTGGGAACCAATGTGTTACTAGTGGAATATTCTTTGTAGCTAAAATTAATACCTGGACACTTCAGAGTTATTTAGTGCTGTATAAATCAGCATTTGAATCTTATTAGGATTTCTCCCTCTGCATTTTGTTTTTTTTTAATTACAGTTATTTCAGTCTGGTACAAAATACTTCAAGTTTAATTTGAATATTAAAGAGTTTTATGGCAGCATTTTGGCTGCTTCTTGTAGTGAGTTCCATTTGGAATTGCAGCCTTAAGTTTCACAGGGCTTTTTAAAGACGTGATGGATTATTTTGCAGTGGTAGTTTATAATGTGTGACTATGATTACTTCGGTTTACATGGGCTCTGGAATTTATTTCTTTTTTGCTTAATTTGAAGGCTCTCTCTGCTTCGCTGTTGCTTAAATCTAGAAAAAAAAAAAAGGACAAATTGGCCCTTCGAATCACGCATGAAATTTGAGACCACATAAGAACTAGAAGTTGGAATTTTTAACTCTGAAATCTAGAGAAGTAACCCAGAAGTATAAAGAATCTTATTTTAAAGTTCAAGGTGACCTTAAAATCATCTCATTCAATCATAATACAATTCCATTAAGGATCCAACAGATTTTTTTTTCTTCTTCTCCCCAAAGCCCCCCAGTACGTAGTTGTATATCCTAGTTGTAGGTCCATCTGGTTTTGCTATGTGAGATGCCACCTCAGCATGGCCTGACTGATGAGCGGTGCCATGTCTGCACCCGTGATCTGAACCGGCGAAACCCTGGGCTGCCAAAGCAGAGCGCGCAAACTTAACCACTCAGCCACAGGGCTGGTCCCAGGATCTGATGTTTTGATGTATCTTATATACCATATAAACTGTAATTTATGAACTAGTTATTAATAACATTTCCTATTTTTTCACCAAAGTCATGTGTAACTAACATGAAGAATTTCTGATCAATATATAATAATTATTGGAACATCAAAAAATTAATTTCACTCCAAAGCACAGAAACTTGATTTTTGAGTACAGTTTGTGCTTCTTTATTAAAAGGTCAATTTTTTGAAATGGTAGAAACATCCTGCTCCTACCCTTTTACTGCTGTCAGGAATTTCATTTCCTAAGGAGCAGAGGACAGAGCAAGCAATCCATTAACATGGGTTGTTCATTCAGATAATTGTTACCATAGAAAACTGAGACCAGGGGCCTGCAGCAAACAGGAAATACCACGGAGATTCAGATCTTGGGTCATTATTAGTATTTAAGTTTGTTAATAATGTGGACCATTGTTTTTTCCTAGAATTCTTCACTGTGCCTGGCATATAAGGGATCCACTGCAAGTTTCTTGAATAAATAAAACACTGAGTAACTTTGGGATCGTGTTGTGAGCGGAAATTTGAGAAATGTGTGTTCCTACACTGGGGGCGGAGAAGGACAATCTTAGAAACCGAGATGAAAGGGAATTTAAAAATAATTTAATCTAACTTCCTCCTTCCTCAGAACTGAGATCCTGACATCATGTGATCAACATCACACAGCTGGCTAACCAAGTGCAAAGCCAGGTCTTGAACTCTAGGCTTCCAGATGTGATGAAAATAATTTTGCTAACTTCATTCTTCACTTACAGCAAAGAAAGATTACTGTATTTATACAACAAGAAGGTGAAATCAATGCCTAAAGACCCCTGTTTTATACATTCTGCTTCTGTTCAGTTCAGCTTCAAGTAATGAGAAAGGTTGTTAGCAATCCTGATAGAAGAGGTTGCTGTTGAATTTCTTGATCATGATGTTTATAACGCTTCAAGCAATATTCAGCAGGCAGCTTAGTTGATATTGATTTTACTAAAGAGAAAAATTTCTCCATATAGCATTCTTGAATTATCTGTTGGCAGACCGGCTGTTAGTTACAGTCTTTATCTATTAGATTTAGCTCTGGTCAAATGGCAATGTAGATGCAGCAGTTGAATCCTTTTTATCAAGGCTGATGTGGGATATTTTTTAATGTAACAGAATGCATCTAGTTTGAGCCACAAAATCGAAAATTGGCTATCTATGTACCACACTGAATCTTCTGGTCATTAGGAGGTATCTTTGGTGGGGATTTGAAGCCAAAAACATAAAATGGCTGATTGTTCTGCCAACTGCTGCTTGGTACCACTTGTGCCACTGTAGCCACAAGACAAAGGGACTATAAATAGCTATTTTTAACAGCTAGCAGAGAATGTCCTACTCAATCAGATAGACTCAGGGAGAAAGGGAAAATTTTATATGTCCCATATCTCCATGGCACATTTCTCTCTGTGCCTAGACACGTCTTTTAGATCATGTGTTTCCTACAAGAGATGCTTCTCTAAAACTATAATATTTTTTCCCTTTAATCTCTAATCTTTCATAAGAAAGAATAGGAAAACCCACTTTCAGTCTCAGTTATCCCATAAAAACTGTGATTCTGGATGTCATTTATTATCTCATTTGTAATATCAGAGGGTTGAAATATATGATGGTATGTACCCTAATATTAACATCTATATGCCAGATTCAGTGAAAAATCTTTAACCCAGGTGACCTCACTTAATTGTTATAAAACCTCGAATATAGTTATCTTCATTTTATTGACGGGGAAACTTAGGTTCAGATAGAATTTGTTCCTTATCTAAATTATGACAGAGCCGGGCTCCAAATGCTGGTGGTCCTGGTTCCAAAGACCACTTTTACGATATCCTACTGATATTCTGTTCATTAGTGATGTTTGTGTTTTAGTCAGTTTTAGACTATATATTGTAGAGTGCTGTCCTTGGATTTCTATGGCAAAGTAAGGTAACCGACTCAGTGATTCTGTCTAATTTACAAATGGAAAATGGAATTTAAACACAAATAACATTTGCAAGGTTGAATATCTAACAGAAGATGATGTCTGCATCATGCTCCATAATCTTAGAGTTGCTTCTGAATTGACTATGGGTTTGTGAGTGTTTGGCGCATCTGAGGGCTTCTATGGGGTAATCCTTGCTCAATCAAGATTTTTCTGATTTCTAATTGCAAAATTTTTTACCTTGGTAGGCTTCCTCAAGTTTCCCCTATGATCTCCATCTCACATGGTCCCCCTAAAGAGATTACGTGAGAAAAATATGGCTCACCATACTAGATGGCATTGGTTAACATCAATAGTTTCATTTTGTCTAATCAGCATCAATTTTCCCTTTATTTAAAGTTAAACAGAAAATAATACTTAAGTAGTATAAGTCGTGTTTAAAGCTTCCAAATATATGCTTTAATTATGAATGTCCCAATGGTCTTTTCAATTGACTTGAAGTTGTACAATTATCCAAAATGTATTTACGTATAATTAAAATGGTCAATTTTTAGTTTATTTTGTAATTAGACTATTTTTGATTGCACAAATATATGCATGAAGATACATGCACACACATATTACTTTAGAATGCAAATTAGACAGATCTGCAGCTTCAAAAGAGTAATTTTAAGTTATATGTAAGTGCTATTGGCCTGAACTTTAGCAGGCCAGATCTACAAAACAGTATTAAAATTAAGGAGATTCTCAATCATAGAGTCTCGGAACTGATCAGATTCTCACTGATACACCAATCAGATATATATTCCTTCTATATGACGCAAGAGAAATGTTGGATTTACTGACTATGTTGCAACATGATTAATCTTCTGATTGATTCGACTAAAAGATACAACTGGAAGTGTTTTCAGAATCATGTAAAACGTTGGCATATCTGGAACTTACATTCCTTTGAACATTCTCTTTTAAGCAATATTTCTTACTTTGTTTAGACATGTAAGTAAGAAGAGACAAAGTGTGATTCCACACCCACACTACCATCCCTGGAAAATTTCTCTTTAAATGCAACTGTCTAGCAAAGTGCAAAGAGGGTGAGAGTTTTGCAGTCATATTATCCTTAGAAACCTGTATGACATTCAGAACATAACAAATTGAAAGAAAAAAAGATTGACTTTAAGACAACATTAAAAATGAACGCGAAACATTGATACTTTCTTTCAACAAGGTTACTGGAAACCTCTCTTTCCAATAATAACCACAGAAATAAAGGAAAGGAAAAAATCTTTTAACGAATATTGCTTTAATCTAAATGGAACGACTGCAAAGCATGCAATTATAAATGTGTAAAAAGACAGGAAGAGAAAAGCCAAAATAATGAGAGGTTCTTGTAACATCTAGTGTCACAAAGTTGCAATTCTCTTAGAAGTTTTGGTCTCAAGAGGTATCTTGGAAAGGAAAAAAAAGCCTCAGGAAATAATAAGTAGAACTTGGCAAAGAAATCTCCTTTATGAGAAGTGCCTGCAGGCAGAAATAATTGGAAGCAGAGGCTTCCTTGGCCCTGACAGGTGCCCCTTGCTTCCACCAGGAGTGGACTCCCCAAAAGACCCAAAACAGAGTATAACAAAGAATCATCTGGGGGCGATCCTGATATTGTATTTGGACAAACAGAGGGAAAAGTGAAGAGAGACATTAACTTAAGTGGACATTCAAACCCTCTCCACCATGGAACCAAGAGGCAATTATTGGGGTTGCTCAGGCCAAAACATGCTTTAGCCTGAAGTATCCAGTGGATATGTCCTCAAATGACTGGGATAATTGTTTCTATGTCCCCATTCATTTCTTTGAGTGCTGAGCTGGTGTGAGAAACATTAATGTTTAGTGGAAGGAACTTTTTCTCTTGGTAGCAATGCAAACAGTGCCTTTGAGTGTTCATTTCATCTAGCAGAAGGTTCAACATTCATAAGAGCATACTGCTGGAGAAGAAGGTACAAAAACAATGAGCACTGTTCCGTACCAATGCTGGTTTAGATGCCAAGATAGCACCAAAAATTTAACTCCAGTAAAGAAAAAGTCTGAGTGTTTTTATAATGTATATAAAACAATCTAGTATCAGAACTTTCATATCTTATTACGTATTGAAGCAGTTTAAAATGACACCTATCGAGAGCCAGATCTCCGAAAATCTACTCTATCAGCTGCTGCATTTGCTACCATTCTCAGGACCCTCACCATGAAAGGCCTTCTGCTGCTCACCCTGTCTTCTCTGGTGTGCTGGGTCTCAGCTGACATTCGCTGTCACTCCTGCTACAAGGTCCCTGTGCTGGGCTGTGTGGACCGGCAGTCCTGCCGCCTGGAACCAGGACAACAATGCCTGACAACAAATGTGTACCTCGGTAAGATGAGGGTTTTCTCCAACCTTCGCTGTGGCACACCAGAAGAGCCCTGTCGGGAGGCCTTCTACCAAACCAGCCACAGGCTGGGCCTGACCTATAACACCACCTGCTGCAACAAGACAACTGCAATAGCCTGGCCCCCCGGCCCACCCCGGCCCTAGACCTTGTCCTCACCTCCTTGGCTGGCCTTGGCCTCTGGCTGCTGCACTGAGGCTCACTCCATGGCTGCCCCCCTCCCTCCTGCCTCACCTGAACCTTTCTCCCTGTGTCTCGGATCCCCTGGCTTCCCACAGTGGTCTCTCCCTACCTCTCTTTGCACTAAAAAAAAATTTCTCCAGATCCTTCACATTTCTTTAATTAGACAGTGGTCTCCCTCTCCATCCTTCTACCCCATACCCTCCAGTCTGCTTTTCCTGAGTCCCTTCCTATTTCCCCCTAGACCATTCCAGATCCTCCATTGGCCCCTAGAAGGGCTCCCCACTTTGCCTCCTGCTCTCTGTGGTGCCCTACTCAGAGAGGGATTGGAATCTGGGCCTGAAATGGAGCTTCCATCCTGTTCCTAATGAAGGCTCCCAGAAAGAACCTGATGACTTCATTGTACAGGGCTTATTCCCCAAATCCTGGCTCCCATTGTACTCCATCCCTATGCTCCCCTGTTTCCATTTTGAGTAACAAATGTCTGTGCCTGAAAAAAATAAAATAAATAAAATAAAATAAAATGACACCTATCATCTATCTATCTATCTATCTATCTATCTATCTATCTATCTATCTATCCATTCCAGCTACATAGCAATGGAAAGGAATATAGAAAAAGAGACACAGAGAGAGATAGAGAGATATCCAAATAGCTATTTTATGAATATCTTCACAGTAAGGATCACTGCATATTTTCAAAATGTTTGGTTGATAGAAAATGTTGAAAGGAACTGAGGCTCATTGAGGCTCATAAACATATTATAACATGGAGATAAAAAATATTTGGAAAACTTATATTTCATTCTATTCACCTTACCACTTTACTGTTCTAAAAATAATTAATTTCGCAGTGTGATGCCTGAAGAACTTTACGTTTAGAGTAGGTCAAAGGATACCATCTCTGGTGGTTTTACTGTGACAACATGGTTAAGCTTGAAACTGTATTTCCCAGAATCCCCTTCACTGTATGGTTATAGATTAAATTTGGTCGAAAGGGAAACTTGTGTGAGATTTGCATGGTGTGAGTGAAATAGCAATTACTTTCTTGAGGTTGTCTTAGTCAGATGCAGTCCTTAGGTATCCTCTCTCACCTACTCTGTGTCTACTATTCTTCCTGACTGACGGCGTGTTGGCCACAATGGCCCAGGTCTATCACCAGATGCTTGGCGGCATAACCACAGAGAAGCCATAGCTTTTCATTGATCTCCCTCTCTTCCTTTAATCATGCTGTAGGGAAAAAAGTACTGTATTAGGAAGTCAGAAGTTCTCCATGCTTATCCAGATTTTGCCGTATCTTCATGACCTTGAGCAATCACTTACTCTGTGCCTCAGTTTCCTCAATTATATAATAAAGGTATTGAACTAGAGAAGCTCTCAGGTCCTTTATGGGTCTAAAAATTGATCTGTGTCTTTGCTAGACTTTTATTAGCGCTTCCTTTGGGAGGGAGGTGAATCAACTGAATGATTTCATCACTTCCTCAGGTATGCATACATGCTTGACCCAACAAAGCCTGCTGCCTTCTAAAATCAATTTAGTGCTTATGCTTTACTTCTGCTCTGATAGACACAACACCAGAAACTCTGCTTTAAGGAACTCATTTTACTATCCTGGATAATTGTGTGTGTGTGTGTGTGTGAGAGGAACATTGACCCTGAGCTAACATCTGTTGCCAATCTTCCTCTTTTTGCTTGAGGAAGATTGTCACTGAGCTAACATCGGTGCCAATCTTCCTCTATTTAATATCAGATGCCACCACAGCGTGGCTTGATGAGCAGTGCTAGGTCCACGCCCGGGATCCAAACCTGTGAACCCTGGGCCACTGAAGGGGAGCATGTGAACTCAACCACTATGCCACCGGGCTGGCCCCTAATTTTTTTTTAATGGATGAGAAAAAGGATTATAAGTTACTTCTCCTGAGTAGGGATGAAATAATCACATTATGTGCATAGGAAAACATTGATGCATCAGTTTTCTATATTTTTAGTTTTTCGAACAAATTTAAATTATGCCACTGTTCAGTCTATATGTCTAGAGTTAAAAAAGCAAAAGAGAGTTGTAATGAGAGACTTAAAATAAAGAAAGATTGGACTATGTTATGTTTGGAGTAAAACTGAGAGGTAAAAGTAAAAAGAGATTAAAGAACGTTCTTAGTAGTCAGGAAAGAAAATATTTCAAATGGAAAGTCATTAGCGATAATTTTTTAATTATTATAGTAAACAAAACACTGACTTAATCAATGAAAAATACTTCTAAAGAGATCTTGTGTGTTTTACCTTGCAATGATTGAATAATATCAAGTCCAACGTACATCCATTTTGGCCCTAAGCTAAGCTCCAAAGATTTGCAGCCAAAGAGCATGCTCAGATCACCGATCCTCAGTTCAGCTCAGAGATTAGTAGCATACAATTTCATCTTCCTTTAATCATGATAGTTAGCTTATAATTATTTTAAATCATTTAGGGAAAACTGGGCTATCTAACCATTCATTCACTCATTCATTTGATGGCTTATGTGAAAGTACTTACCATGTGCTAGGAAAGTGCAAGGGACTCAATGTGTTTCCCATTTAATCTTTACTGGAACTAAGGTAGGTAATATTGTTCTCTGCTTTCTACATATTAAGAAATTGAGGCTGAGAAAGTCCAAGGATTGGCCAGACAGCACATAACTAGAAAGTCCAAAACGAGTATTTGAAGGCCAGTGTGTCTGAATGCAAAATCCACATTTAACATTTACAATATACTGGCTCTTAAGTATAATCACATATAACATCCAAATTTAACAGCATATAACACTCCTGCTCATGGAAGTGGAAAATGAGTCCAGTGAAGTTACATGACTTGTCCCTGGGTTACATAGTTAGAGGCCAACGCACACTTCAGAAGATTGGAGATGCTTGTGTGTAGATACAGACAGAGTTCAACTGGGAGGGAGAGTATCACTTGTACTCACTCAAGGTCTCTTCTTGCAATCTCCATTATTTCAAATGGCTAGTCTCTTGAAGTTTTGCATACACAGTCTAAAAATGTCACTAAATATAGAACTCTTATAAGAAGAATATTCCATCTAAAGTCAGAAAGGTAAACCATATGACCTTTCACATTCTTTGAAGACAGCCAAATGATCTTTATATTTTCCTAAGGTTATTGAACAATTCTAAGTAAAAGTTCATGACCATTTGTTTTTATTTTTGAATTGATGTAGTCAGTCATTTTTGTTATTTCCTTATGTATTAAGATATTAAAAACTTCTATTATTTCTAAAAATTTTTAGTGAGAAGTGAAAACTTGAACATTGGCAGTTACTTTTTTTTTTTTGAAGTGCAATAAACTACAATATGATAATAAGTGCCGGTGACATTCCTAATTGTGTCTATCTGACACTCATAAAATCTTTTGGCTTGAATCCATATTTAAATCCTTTGGGATCCTTTGTACCTAAATATGTAAATCTTGAGAAATAGAAGATAAACTACATTAAAAGAAGATTTTAAATTTTAATCAGTTCATTTAATAAGTGTAATCTCTTCTTTCCTCATTTTTTCAATGATTGACATTTACTAGAAATTAAAATTAGAATATTTCTCCTCATACAGTTAATATCATAAAGCTTCAATTATTTGCATTATTAGTACTCTACCCCTTTATCTCCAAATATGCCAAACCATTCCTTTTTTATTGTTGCATACACATCCTTCATCTAACTCTTTGGCTTGGCTCAACAGTGACCTCTTTTGAGAGATTTTCTCTGACGTCTCCCAAATGGTCTAATCTCTGCTCTAGTAGGCTGGTTAAAACCATGTCCCCAGGGGTGCCTGTTGGCATAGTGGTTGAGTTCTCACACTGTGCTTCAGCAGCCCGGGGTTCATGGGTTTGGATCCCAGGCGTGGACCTACACACCACTCATCAATCCATGCCATGGCAGCATCCTACATACTAAATAGGGGAAGATTGGCACAGATGTTGGATCAGCAACAGTTTTCCTCGAGCAAAAGGAGGAAGATTGGCAACAGATGCTAGCTCAGGGCCAATCTTTTTCACCAAAACAAAAAAAAAATGTCCTCAGCTCATCACCTCTTCCTATTTCCAAGCCCTTTGCAATGTGACTTTATAACTCTTCTCATCATGAGTAAAGTCTGTTTCCCTACCCCTTGATCTAGGCTGGTTGTGTAAGTTGTTTTGCAAATAGAGTGCAGTGTATGTGAAACTGTGCCAGTTCCAAGGTCCTGCACACTACTGCTTACTCTCTTGATATGCCGCTATTACGGTGAGACATGCTCACGATAATCCGCTGGATAATGAAAGACACAAGGCCTAGTCATTGTGCCAGATGGCTGTCAGCCAAGCGTCAGACATGAATGAGGTCCATGGATACCTAGACCCCCGCTCACACGCAGCTGAGCACAGATGCCAAGATGGGCCAAGCATGACTCAGATCAGCAGAACCACCCTGCTTACCCATGGATGTAACAGCAATGATAAACGCATATGAGTTTAAGCTACTAAGTTTTGGGGAAAGTTTCTCACATAATATTATATCATAGACCTTTCCTTGTTGATGCCAAGCACTTATTCCTCTTCCTTCACAATTAACACTTTTTACATATGATTTTAATCTCCAATCATTTCAGGTATGTGCATCTTGAATCCTCAAGTATTTTAAAAACCGTATAAGAAGAGCTGTGTGGTAACCATTTTTAAAAAATTGTTTTTAATACTCAGCAAAGGTCATATAACAGTGGGCGGTTTCACAGGGTAAGGAAAAGAACTTTGGAAGAAGCATGCGCTCAGCTAACTGCATGTACTGCATCTTTTACATAAGTGACCTGGGCAAGCCTCTTAACCTCTTTGAACTTTCTAATTTTAAGCCCAGAGTGTTAACCACTACACCATGCTTTGGAGAGTACAGCATTCAGTAGTACACTATCCTCCTACTTTGGTAATGAAGCCAGAGAACATGTACTTCTATTTTCCATTTGACAGCATAGACCCAGATTTGAAAGCCTTACTCACTCCAAACTCTCTTGGACATCTCTATCACTTTGTACCACATTAGCATTTCAAATCGTCTCTCTTTCCAGCAACTCTTGCCTTTGCCAGTATGTTGAACAGGATAAAATGTAAATGAACTGAGTTTTTTGGTCAAGAATGTAAACAATGTTAATATGTTGCTTGCAGACCTGGTTAAATGATATACGGAATGTTGTCTCCTCTCATCTTACACATGTTCTTATATACCTGGGTAATTTCACTCACTGTTTCCATCCAAAGGCTTAAAACCATAGTGGAATTTAACTGAAAGAAACATACCATTCTGAGGATGCTTGAAATATGCATATGTTGATCTTAAAAGTACTGACATAAAACAAGCAGAAAAAACAGCTGATAACTACCTAATCACTAGCGAT